GAATTGACATCTATTCTTACTGATTGTTTTAACAGGAATTTAAAGTATTACACAATGCTGTTTTCAGAAATTTTGTAATACCCTGGAAGATGTGTGCTCTCCGTAATCGATTGGAAGAGAATGAACTATGAAAAGTGCTCCTAGTTAAAAAAATGATGGTAGAGAAAATCTCGTTGACAGCAGTCCCTTAACACTACTACCATTTACATGAGTTGATGACATTTTGCCTGAAGTAGTGCATCAAGTTGAAGGTTGCATCACCGCGACAATTGATATCTTAAACCAATTTATGCAAGATGCTCAGGGATTAAATCGTCTTTAAAGTTTGACTTCCTTAAGATCATTCGTACAATGGAACCAAATGATTCAGTACGTTTAGTTAAGTCATACCAAACCCTTTATTCTCCTTTTTATTTAAACCGAGCGCTTCAGTACAAGCACCTATTGTATGTGTTTACGAATCGTATTTAGCATATTCATGTGCGTTTTGTGTTTCCCCGTTTTTTAATATTTTCAAGTTTCACTAAAAGATTTGTGTGTAAAATCCCTAGTAAATTTACACTTTTCGAATGCGACTAGGTAAGTATGACTTCAGAAGTGATTAACAACTAAAATTGACGCCACTTTATCTTCCCAAGAATTCTGTTAATACAAAGAAAATACGATCAAATGGTAGACCCCGAAAATGTTTGCTGGTCGAAAATTCATGCGATTACCACAGTTCCATTTGATTTTGTAGCTCTTTACAGAGTTTTTAAAGCCAGTAAACGAATGGGGTCCGGCTCAAGACGAGCACCGCGCGGAATTTATCTCAATGATACGCTCCAATGACTCCTTGCGGCACGCTGTCGGCAGTAGTCAAGTGTGCATAAGCAGCGCTCACATCCCGTCTGGGCTCGCAGACCTCGAAAACGGTGGTGGTGGTGGCGGTGGTGATAGCAGCGGTAGACGTCGGCGCGTCCTCATCGGTAACAGCAGCGTAGCATTGGACTCAGAGGGCGGTTTCTTTCAGAGCAAACTCAGCGTTGCTGAGAAACTTACCATGGCGCATAATCGCGAGGTGGCGAAACGCTCCGGTGTCGATCTCAGTCATCTTGATACCGAAGCTTTAACCGCTAGTCAGATCGTAAGTCTCCCTCTTCCTTCATCCTTCTTAGGAGGTGGTTCATTGGTTTTAAGTGGACAGTTCTTGAACCTTATCTTGGCTTTAGAGCTTGCAAATCCTATGGAATGGTATTGTGTCTCACCTCGGCTTTAATTGTAACTCTACTTTGTGCAGTTGAACGTGCATAACTTTTTGATACTTACTTTTCTATTTGCTAAAGGAAGGTTACATTTCTCCTGATGTTAATTTACCCCTCACTCCTTAGCTCTGGTCCATCGTCAGTTTCGTTAAAGTCATAGCTTCGCTTATTGAAACATCAACTCTCTTTCATGTCAGCAATTATTCTTTGGAACCTGAACATTTTGTTTAATATCTGATATTTCTTCTACATTCAGCATTGATGAAACTCTTCAATTTTATCCAACGGGATTGGCAATGCGAGTAGAGTTACTCTAATTATTAAGTAGCTAATGTTTATTCAAAATTATGAAGTTCCAGTCCTATAGATGTTGTTGCACTAGTTTTCAGCTGTGAAAACTACTTAATATGAGATGTTGAGTGGATCAGAGCTTATCATCCTTTTTGATTCCTTGTGCCTTGGGTCTCAAATACCGTCTCTCGAATAAAGGCTCGCTCCTCTTTCATTGTTGATGACAATGGACTTTAGATGTTTCAAGGGTTCCCCGCCGTTCTCTTCGTTAAGTGCAGCGAAGTAAATTATTGAG